TAGTTTTGAATGTTTCTACTGTTTCCGCTCTTTTAATATATTCGGGAATTGAGTTCCATAGTTTCGGTGCAGATACTGAAAAAGCGCGTCCACCATAGGAATTGGATTTAATAGGTGGGATGCATAACTGTAAGCGAGTTGATGATCTCAGTGTTCTTGATGGGTGGTATTCTTGTATAAGAGGTTCTAAATAACTAGTAGATTGCTCATTTAAGATCTTATAAGTTATAAGTAATATCTTAAAATTAACTCTTGCTTCGATTGGCAGCCAATGTAGGTTCTTTAAAATAGGTGTGATATGGTCAGTGTTTCGTGTTCCGGTTATCATACGAGCAGCGATATTCTGGATCCTCTGCAGTTTGTCCCTTTGATACTTTGGTATCCCATATAGAATGCTATTTTCAACCTCTTTCTTACATCTGTCCTGCCAAAATTATCTTTTGGTAGATATATCCGTTCTGGACTAGAATTTCTAGGAAGTGTAGCGCTTCTGTTCGACTTGCTTGTATCCCCACACCCTCTTCAACATTTCTCGTCTTCCAATGCAGATCACACCACAGGTGGCCCAAGCTCTGTCACAGGCTCTTTCACAGTGGATAATTAAAGAGTTTGTATAGTGGGTTAGTTGGACTTGCTTTTGAGCTCCGTAAATGTAAAGTTGTGTGAAATAGTCAAAGATATAAAGTCTTTGACTGTCCATCTTAACTTCATACTGTCCATCTTAACTTCATACTGTCCATCTTAACTTCACTGTTTTCTTGTTATACTTGATAACAACAGAAATACCGGGTACCTTAGTATGTGTGAAGGGTTGGTGTTGGAAGACTATGGGGGGGACCCGTTGAGAGAGAGTTGACTAGGGTCCAGGTTGACCGCGCATTAACGGTCTCTCAGCTGCACAACATGTTCCTTCCACGCATATTCCACGCATTAGAAGAATTCAGAACGGCCGTTAATTTGAAATTCTCGCTGGATTGGTTGCTCGACAAACCAACTTTTGTGGGATTTTTTTCGGTGAACTTAAAGGGAAACTATCTGGCGTTCGTGCTGCCAAGTTTTGATTCAAGGGAAAGTATTTAAGTGTTGTTTTCGAGCGATTTTGGAGAGCATGTGCCAACAGAAGTTTCCTACCTTCCAGTATCTTGTGCCCGGTGACTCGGGGGTGATTAGGGCGTCAAGCTAAAACACATCGAAACGGCCTCAAATCGCGATAAGAACAATACAGACTACTCTCTATGAAGGTAAGACTTTATTTTTTTTATTATTTCACACAACTTTACATTTACGGAGCTCAAAAGCAAGTCCAACTAAACCACTATACAAACTCTTTAATATTCCACAGTGAAAGAGCCTGTGACAGAGCTTGGGCCACCTGTGATCACACGTCTTTTGATTCTTTCATTGCGTTATTCATAATTAACCTTGATCTTAACAATCACTTTAGTTAGTCGAATAAAACATAACACGACTATGCATCTAGCTAGGGCTACAGTCAAACGCATCTTCAACCCTCTATTGTCATGAAATTTCAAATAACGTCATTTTTCTTATATAAATAAGCTTTTATTAATAAATCTCACAGGAGACCTTACCATTTTTTGAGTGATGCCATGGTTTCTAAAATACACAAAACCAATAGTACTAAACGCATAGTATACTTGATCTGTAAGCCCTTGAATGTCTTGGCTTACTTCAGTCAAGGGATTCTTCTTTTCCAGACTAAGCACACTAAAATCTACCACGGAAATTCCGTCGATAACTACGGCAGCCATTTTAGGCGCAAAAGACTGTCTGATGGGAGGTGGGAGGGGTTATTTTGGGGTAGGGATAGTCTAGGGACAACAAGCACCAAAAGACGAAGGAAATGATCGAAAATGACGAGGACAAAACAACTACCTTATCTTCATATCGAAGCTCACAAGGACGCGAGCCCCTGTATGTGTAATGAAATCAGGACATTACCTGTCAATTATATACGTATAATTAATCTTTATGTACGTCACTAATCAGATTCTCTTAACATTGGTTGAATGGAATAAACACAAGATCATACACAATTAAGTCTGATTGATATCTCCGAAAGTAGGAAAAGCTCGCAGGATCGTTCAGTTTATTTCGTTCAAGATCGATACAATAGCCCATGCTTAGGTCACTTGATTTCTTCACCAGCTGAGATGGATCGGAGTGATGGAGTGATATTTAGGGGTTTCCAAGGTCGGAGGTATAACCTCAACTTACCCATTTGCCTACAGTGTGAGACTACTTTTGCTCTTTGACCAACATTAGGACAAGATTAAAATCAACTATATGGCAAATTGATCTCTCGTATCTCCCGCACTTGAAGCACTATGTATTTTGTATGCAATTATCCTTAGTTATCACCAGGATCTCAGTGTAATAGTTGTTTTTGTACTGATTGAGCGTTTCCTTGGTGCTCAGACACTCATCAGAAGACACTTCTAGTTATTGTAAGACGGAATGCAATACGAAGAAGTTAGACAAGTGTTAAAAAGCACCTCAGTCTAACGGTAAGTGCTGCGCATACCCCGTTACACCGGGTGTAAAAAATGCTACGAAAAGTACCCAAATTCGTCATTCGGTTTCGCAAAGGAAAATGAAGGACAAGTCTCAAGATTTTGCACCGTTTTATGAAATATTGAACCCGTTTGACCAAGGGCGTTAACTGTGTCTTCTAGCATTAGCCACTCTATCTGACTTCTATGGTTGATGGCCGATTGTAAGCCTAACTATCAGTAAATCCTGTTTTAATCATCACAAACTATTCGTGCCTTTGGCACCTTTTCATCCTCCTCGCGCAATCGTATCCGGAGCTAATCTTGGATTTTGTAGCGTGAGTTTTGATATTATTCTCCCCTTAAAAGGGAGTTTAACCGATTGCACGTCACTACTAGACTACGGAAATGATCCTGACTCGAGCCCGGAAATTTCAATCCAGAATTCAGCGAGCAAACCTTTTATGCCTGGCTTAACAAGACTCAGCCCAACAAACTGTGGTCTTCAAAATCGTCAGATTCACAGTGATAAGAGCGCTACTGCTAAAAATTTTAATGTAAAAACTATTATCACTTGTCCTTTCTCAATTGTATGCTTCTGTCTTTTCTAAATCGAACTGACTAAAATGACCAGCACAACTTCAATCAGTTCCTTGCATCCAAAATCTTGTGAACTGTTTCAGTATTCGTAGGTTGCTTTGACCCGTTGCCAAAGGTAATCATAGGCCGTTATTGGAGAGTACTTCTGAGATCCATCAAGACATGTGATCACCGTGTCGTCATCGGGATGGACAAAAAAGGCTAAAGAACGTCTGGGAACACGCCGGTGACACTCTTCTGAAGGAATGGAAACTCGATGGCGCTGAAAAAGCAAAAAAAAAAACAACAACAACAACACAAAAAAACACAATCGAAAAATGAATAGTAAAATGGTTATGCTTATGAAAACCTTTAAGTTCGTGGGAAACTTGATTAAACTTCGAAATGTTCCTCAACCCCTTTTTTAAGGGGTGTAGCCCGATGTCATCACCAATAACCACCATGAAAACTCCCCCATCATCATTTCCTTCATAACGTGATCTACTTAAAACGAACAGCCACACGAGGAATAGGAATTCATCCCTACATAGTATGATCCCTATGAACACTACTTTTTGTGTAATAAATCTGCTTCAAAAAGTTTAAACAATTTTCTCCATTCCTCTGAAGGCAATGGTATTTCTAGTCTAAGTAAAACCATTCTCTTTAGAAAAGCACACCACATTAGTGGTAGTGTCGACAGGTTTCTGTATCAACCGGTATCTTCATACCGTTGACTTCAGCTGGTCAGCAGTCCACCTCTGCATGAGGTCTGCCACATTGACCACAATTGTTCCTGGCAGAGGAGGGGCAGGTACATACTCTGTGCATCCAATAGGTAAGACCTGTTAAAAGAAGTTCATTTGTCTAACATCAGGGTACTTAAAAGTTCTGTGAACCATTCAGTGATGAAAATCTTATGATTGTGTAAACATTTCATGACTAATGTTTGACCCAACCAGCAGGTTTTTTTTTTTTTTTGTTTTTTTTTTTTTGTAAATTGTAAGGACTTGTAATATTTGCAAGTGATATACTGCAACAAGGAAGAATCACTTTGGTCAAGAACTGAAAAGGAATCTAAGTAAGAAGTAACAGTGACAATACCTCCAGTCCAGGCATGTTATCTTGAAAGAGGAGAGTGATTGAACCATAATCAGTATGTTCTCCACAGCGAATTTGTCCTGGTTTAATTAACTTGTCTTGAGGAATGCATGGGTAGTGTAACAGTCGTAAGGTGGTACAGTTCTTTGTACTGGCCATTACCTTGTGAGTGTTTGTAAAAACACCTGGATTCTAAAGAAAGATTTACGATAACTGTAGAATTTATTTTTACTTTAGAGGGAGGGTATGGTTTAAAATACAAAAAAAAATTCATGTTTTTTTGCAGTCAAACTAAACATGTTAACTTACATTTTCCAACAAAATAATACAAAAACATAGTAATGAACTCATTTTGGTAATCTGAGAGAGATATTCTAAATGCCTTTTTATCAACTCAAAAATTTTAACCCTAGTTGCACTTCCATTTTCAGTAATTTATATTGTGTCCCTTAAAAATCCACAGTCTTAGTTGAAAGCCTGAAACCCTGTTTTGATTAAGACATTTCAACACATTTTCACTGTATTTCATTTGTACCTCAAGCTGCAGTCCAAGTGCCATGATGTGAAGGATTTTTAAAGACAGGTCACCACAGATATCGAAGAAGGAAGCAATCTCGCTTTGGAAATTTGGTACTTCTTTATCAGGCCATGGCTATAACAAAGGTAAAGAATGCAATGAATTAAAGGGTCATCAGCAAAAGAGTGAAAAGCCGAACAAAAATTGTATCAGACTGAGTTATGAAGTGGCACCTGGTATTTATGGTGACGTGTTAAACAAGCACATGTCATTCATCTTAACCTTGTCTTGACCTGTAACTATTTAAATGTTTACAATTACTTGATAACAGTCAACCATGTCTGGCAGTTGCTCAGTTAGAAACTGAAGGTAGTGAGTTAAAGCTGTTAGCCTTGAAAAATGATTTCATGTTTAGTTATTGCAAATTATATTTGAAATCAATTATTTATATCAGTCTATACATATAATTTCTATCTATTTAAAGAAAAGAGAGGTTGACATACACGCTGGTGAGTTTGAGGCTCTGTTATGTTAAAGGCTTCCTTGTGATCAGCAGGTCTGTCTAGACTAACTCTGACAACAGACAAAAGGCAAAAAAAGGAATAAAATGTATTTATATTTATTGAATAAAGTTGAAAAAATGTTGCAGCTCACAGTTTTCTTCAAGCTTCCATCTCAGAAATTGTTCGCTTCTTGGAACAGATATACATGTTTGCAGACAAATATCTATGTATATATGGATGACAAATGACAGCAATTGTAAATTTACTATAATAATTGTTATTTGTCCATAATTCAATAAATTCTCGAAAAGAAATTTCTTGAATTTGCATAAATCTAGATTGTATTATAAAAAAAATGATAAAATGAAAAAAAAAAAACACCCTTACTTTTCTCTCTCAAATGCCACCCATCCATGACCACTACCACTGGCTGGTCTCGCATATTTCTGCTTCACAGCATAATCCAGTTGGAAAAACTCGTCGCATAACTTAAAAATTGTGTCAATCTGTAAACAGACCATTTTATATGAAGGCCTGTTAGTTGTTTGGCTTGTGCATTGTGAGTAAAGGAGTGAAAAAAAAAAAAATTTAACTTAAAAATGATATGAAAATTACCTGCCAACCTTTACTATCATGACTAATCTCAACTTTAATCAATGAGGCTCTCTGGAAAACCACAGACCATTGCACTTACCAATAGGCCCAAAAATTTCTGGTTTATGTCATTCTTTGTACACCGCCCCCTTATTCCATGACATCATTGGCAAGAAAACAATACCCAAATGCTGTGATTGGTGTAAGATACTGAAATGCTGTGATGTTATTAGGGCAAGATTGATACATACTCTAATGCGACAATCTGATTGGTGCAAGTTATGTACCCTAATGCAGCAATCTGATGGGTGCAAGATACCTACCTTAATGCAGAGATCTGATTGGTGCAAGCAACATACCACCCCACATGCTAACAACCATTTCAATATTTACTTTTTAGGTGAAAAACAAAAAAATTATTTTGAGAAGACTTAAATGAGGCATTCTTCTTGAACAAATATTGGGTATTCAGGAAAGAACAGTTATTCTTCTGATAAGCGTGCTTAAAATATTAGATATTTTATAATATATTACGAAAAAAATCAAAACTGTAGAAAAAATTGCAAAATAAGTGTGATTGATCATTACCAGCCTGATTTGAGCACTGAGACACAAGTGTCATACGCTTGTAAGTGGACAGTGTAATAGGACAGTTGAAGGGACAGTTAACACGTCATACCTGTGTAAGTGAACAGAATGCATACTGTGCATGTGCAGTTGTTAATTGTTTTTTTTTTAAGAAAACCTATGTATAACCACTGTCTAGTTTCTTTCTCCAATTTTATCATAGTGTGGATTAATTGGTTATAGTTTTCATTAATTGGTACCAAGTATTTGTGTCATCCAATTCTGTCTGTAATCACACTCTTGATGTACAAATCTGACTCCCACTTCACTGGCAACCCATTTTGTTGATCACTCATATTATGACAGACTGAATTGGACTCTACTCAGTCTTATCATCATCTGTATTATTATCCTGGGTGGAGAATACCTCATTGATTCATTCTTGACAAAAGAATGCCTTCTCTCGGGAAAAGAAACAATTCTTCTTCCAAACAAGAATGCAACATACACATCTTTGAGTTTCTTCTCAATGGAATAGGCCTTTTGCAGTTAGAGATCATGCACTTAGATACCGCATAGCAACACCATATTGGAGAGCAAGCACTCCAGTGATCTCAGACAAAATAGAGATCACAGAGGTCTGCATTCAAACAAAGAATACAGCGGAAAACAAGTTAAAGGGTATCCCAATTCGAGACATCATGTAAGTTTTAATCAACAGCTTCCTTGGAGTGTATCAGCAAAAAACAAATTTTGGTGTGATTTTGCTGCTGATACACTCCAGGGAAGCTGTTGATTACTTCTTACTGGATTTCTCGAATTGGGATACCTTTAGACCTGTTATCCGCCGTATTCTTTGTTTGAATGCAGACCTCTGTGACCTCTATACTGTCTGAGATCACTGGAGTGCTTGCTCTCCAGTATGGCGTTGCTATGCGTTAACTAAGCACGTGATCTCTTGCTGCAAAAGGCCAATTCTTAACCTTGGGGCAAGATTTCCATCTAACCCCATACATCAATTATGCATGGAGTGTTGCAAAGAACCTTAATATTTAGTCTTGATGAAATGGAATGCATAATTAATGTATGGGGTTATGTGGAAATCTTTCCGGGCAGTAGATTCTGAACTTATGAATTCTTATGAATCATTCAGAAAGAATTTCATTTCTGCTCCCAATAATTGAACCTAAGAGTGAGATGCCAACCTTTTCTTGTGGAATACCGTGGTTTTTAATGTAAACGAATCCAACCGTACAGAAAGCCTGGTATATTTCATCTGCAAGTTGGCTGATTTCTGATGAGGAAGAATGTTCAGTTGTTTTACCCAAACACATAGCGCTTAAGTCGATGATTGGTATAGTTGATTCCATGGTTGACTAAATCTCTGTTAATAACTAATATGAAATTGGAAAGCCACCGCTCTTGATCCTTTGGAAGAGGATGATCTGAGTTGCTCGCTGGTCTAACCAGCCATATGAAGCCTCACGCCGTTGTGTTTGTGTAACATCCACGAAACGTCCTATCAAAAATCTGTCAGACTTCCAAGTGCGACCCACAAGGATAATTGCAAAAATGATAAAAACCAAAACAACTGGAGAATCAATGCACAATTTCCGACTCCTTGGGTCTTCTTTGCGGTATGTTAGTCTATTTCCGCGCATGAAATCGTCAGGTAAGTAACGAAATGTCCCATCGAACGTGCATATGAGTGACGCGACCAATCGAATCATCGTTCAATGATAACTTACTTGGTCCTTTTTTCAGATAACTTGATCGCAGTGCATTCAGTAATAGGCAACTGTCTCTTCTCAAGACTAACGCGGAGTTGAGATTTATCCAAAGTTCTTTTGAAATGACTTCTCTAATTCCAGTTTGAGGCGGGGAAGTAAGTCGATCTCCACAAGTGCCCAATCAGAATACACCCCTTTATTTTTATTGTTAATTGACCATTTAAAGAATGGTCAATTAACAATAAAAGAGAAACAACCCTGTCTTTTTCAACATGCCAAGGAAACATTTTCCTTCACTAATACCCAAAAATGACTCATGATCTTAAAGATCATATGGAAATACCATATACAAAAAGTTTCATTTTACAAGTTTTTTTTTATTGTAATCAGCTAGTGTTGGAAAAGATATCATTCAATACACTGTAATGGACAACTGCAATTATACAAAATCCACACAGCAAAGATAACACAGGAGAGGAAATTAAAATTTAAAGGTCTACTCGAAAAGTAACCGGTAGTCTTTAAGATATTTCTGATGCAAATGGAAACTATTTACACTAGGCAAATAAGAGAAAATTGGAGTGTCTGGAGAGAAGAATATATCAAGCTGATTACCCTCAACCTCATGGAGTTTATCTGAAAGGGTTTGCATTGTTACACTTGGAGACCTGATAGAATTCATCCAATTTGCATCTTTCATTGACATAATTCCATGATACAATTTAGCTATTTTGTATTTATTCTTAATTAAATGTAAATTTTGCAAACTACATGTTATGTACAAATTAAAGCAAATAAAATATTGATAAAGCAGTTGATTGATGAGTTATTTTAAAACAAAATGCATATCAAGGCCATTATATATGATTTAATATGATCATCAAAAACAATTGTGTTGCAAGTTTTAGGAATGGAACACAAAAGGGGTTGATTCAAAAATTATATACATTGAACAAAGTATTTCTGATTGTATTTAAAGTCATTTTGTCTCACAGTGAGCTAATCAATGTAGAGGAGGCTCTTAGAGCCATTCAATTACAGGAGGTGAAGGGGTGAAACAACTCCCTTTTAATATGACAGACATTTGCTTACTGCTTAAAAGTAAGTGCTTTAACTGTCATTTTCTATTGAATGTTAGTTTAATAGCACTTTTGTCTAGTACATGTAACAAAAAGGCAGACTACTAGTTGACGAAAAAATTTTCAAGTTCTATACACTTCATGCAAAAACCAATACTAAGAGTGTGATTTCTAAAAAGTGTAAAGCACAGTTAGTTCTCAAACATCAATCCATTCATTGTCATTTCTTTGGTGGCAGGGAGGGTTGACAGGTCCAAGTCATTGAAGAAAGGATGGTCCAAAGCTTCTTTGGCTGATATTCTTTTAGCAGGATCATATTTAAGCATTTTCTAAATTAGAAATGGAAAAATCAAGACTTCAGCTTCAAAGATAAACTTATAAGACTGTGTTATAAGTGGTCTAGTAGGGTTTTAAGGCCTCTTGACTCCTGAGATTTTCTATGTAAGAGTTGTGGGACGATGACATGACTCCAAGCAGCAATTCAACCAACTTATGAATAAGGCCATTGAACACAAATTGAAAACCCACCTCCTAATGTTGCACATTCCAGTGGCAGATTTTTTTTTACCAACATAAATACTCTGAAAGGTTGCCACTTTTTCCCCTAATCAGGCAGAATTTTGCCTAATTGTTACTAGGTAAACCCTTGATTACTTTTAGGCAAATATGGCAATGTTTAAAATCAATGTTTTCTGATTTAATGTTAGCATAGGTATAGCTGTATGCTTTATTGTCAGACTTCCCTTATGGCTGGAAAATTCAGACCACCAATACAGGCTATCACTGAGCAGGATTTTAAGAATACAAGAGCAAAGATATTGATGAATGTTTTGTTATTTTCTCGGTTCCATGTGAAAAAGTTAACTTCTTTTTTTAATTTTGAAAATCCCTATAATTTATAAAAATCTGGTACCCATGCTTAATGCTAATTACATGGTTGTGCATGCTTTGCCAAAGGTGCAAGTGCAAAGGTGTGACAATTACATAGTGTAATAGTTTAAGTCAAATTAAAAAGGAAGATGTACCTCTAAAAGATCAAGCCCATTGTTATCCAACTGTGGTACTACCTTCCTCAGTCCTTCTCCACTCCATCTAGGAAAGTTTTGTTTGTAATCTGGAAGTTGTGATACTCCAGGCCAGTTCTGCTCTGTAGGTGTACCTAGGATTCTTTGAGAATCAAATGACAGACTTTGTAAGAATAACAGGGCTTAGAACAGTAGCACTCGTGCTTGCCATATGAACATGCTTCTATCAGCTCATTAGTGCAAGAGACTGTTAAGAATGACTTGCAAACCATCTGCTATCACTTTTAGTGTTTGTAACATAACTGTTGTTTTCAGCCTCAGAAAATATTTGCACTTAGTATGTGATGCATAAAAATATGTGGTATAACTATAACTTGACCTTGAAATAAGCATGATGAAAGGCAGCCGACTATCATGCAGGTAGAGAAGGAATTTTAAAAGAGATCACAATGTACAGAATACAAACCTGAAAATACGGAAAAGTTGGTCAATTTCTGAATCACCATGAAACAATGGTTTCTTTGTAACCATCTCTGCAAATATACATCCCACACTCCAGATATCAATGGGACATGCATATCGCTGGCCTCCCAGGAGAACCTCAGGTGCACGATACCACAGAGTTACCACCTGACATAAACAAAAACTTCAACTTACAATAACTCTGTTCAACATACTCAGTAAATGGCAAAAAGTCTTTAGACCATAAATTCAAATGAATACCACTTTGAGATCAGTCTGTATATCAGTATACACTTGTAGGTAAAAAGTTAACCAGGTCCTTTAAAAAATGGTTCAAAACAAGCATAGCAACTGCAGAAATCAGGTCAGGAATGGCTGGTAATTAGGTAAGCATGGAGAAGAGATTAATTCTACAATTGTACTATGGGTACCAAATGCCTTATCTAATTGTCTGGGATGGGAAGAAATATATTATTTGGACCTGTGAAGTAAAATTTTAACATATTCAGGGTTTGACACCTGGCTGCCTGCATTACTAGCCACCGGGCTGGTGATTTCTAAAATTTACTAGCCCAAAACACAACTTGGTAGCCCGATCTATTTCTCTCAAGGTCTACTTCAACGCAAACCTTCCCCTAAACTTATTGGCAAGGTCTTTTAAAATGATAAAAAATTACATTTTTTATTTAATTGTGATAACATAATATGCTATTTAAGGAAAAAGCTAAGTAAATTTTCAACTGCGAGGTGATCGTGTGAGGCATTGCAACATTCGTAGGGAGAAGACATTGACCATTAAGCGCAGAGTCTTGCATCTTGTGATGTTTACGATTGACACGCAAGGCAAAAGAGACTCCAGAAGATGAAAGGTTTATGCCTTCTTCATTGGTATTATCATTACAATTTAAACTGTCTTGTTTTTTTAATCAATTGTGAACTTTCAAGTGAACTAATTAATAATTTCTTTTAATTTTTCTACTAGCCAGCAGGCAATTAAACGTGGTTTTTACTAGCCCAACCAATTTTTTTACTAGCCTCGGGCTACCGAGCTAGTGGAGATGTCGAACCCCGATATTCCGCCCATGGGACAGACGAATTATCTCCTTGTTACTAAAAAGAGCATCAACTGAATATTTTCATCTAGTGATGTACCCATTTACTTATTTATATATTTATTTGTTACTAATGATTTTCATAAACCAGTGTACATCTATCAGTAGAAGTGAAAACTTATCAAAGGTTAATTATAACTTCAAACATAAATTTTACTGTGAAACTACCCTGGGTGCCAGAAGGTTTTTCTTTTTTTGCAGTGTAGCCACTAAAAGTGAGCAGCAAACCATCGTAGCTTTGCCACTCACTTTTAGTGGCTTTGCTGCATAAAAATAACCTTCTGGCACCTAGAGTACTGTGAAACAAATTCTGAACAAAAATTTCTCGTCTGAGTTCCATGGACAAAGAACAGACGATTTTCTAAAGGACAAGAGACTTGAATTTTTTTTTTCCTCTGGTGCATTTACATGTCAGTAGTCCCTGCTTGAAAGGCAACAATTTCAAGATTCCGTGCAAAGTTTACTTTCTTACCTCATGAGTGTAAGCTCTTACAGGGATTCCAAACCCCCTCCCAAGGCCAAAATCAGCTAACTTAATGAGCCCGTGCTCATCAATCAAAAGGTTCTGGGGTTTCAGATCACGATGCAAGATTCGACGACTGTGGCAAAAGTAGAGGGCATTTGTGATTTGGTAAAGGTAGCTCTGTAGGAAAATTAATGTAAGGTGTTTTTGTTATTTCACACATATCACATCAATTGTCTTTATTCTTCAACATAAATTCCTATAAATTTTGTAGTATCACCAGTCCATGCCACTAAGTTGAAAAAATAACACAAGTTGTTCATTACTAAGTACATCTACAAGCCTTGGGTTTCATTAATTAAGGGCCTGGGCACCGGGCAAATTGACCAGTTGTGAGGATGGTTTTGCCTACTTGGTTCAACAATCTGGAGGAAAGTTTATCCCATAAAGAAGTTCAGTTCAAAAAGCTTTGCCCAGTTATGAAAACCAGTTGCCCTCCTGCTGAAAACATTAATGAAACCCCTGCATCTAGATCTCATTTTCATTCTCTCTTAACACACATTCTGCCCTGGAAAATTAGTTTTAATCCAATGTTTTTATCATTGCACCCAATAAAATCTTGAATTTCTCATTTTCTGTTCTTGCAAACTGTAATTTGATCATCCAAACAGACAAAAACTCAAAATGGATTTTACTTAAGTCTGTAAAAACTAAATTGCTATTTATTGTCATCCAGGTCATGTAGCATCAGCCCCATTCAAACCAACTTGCAGCTGAACTGACCAGCCTGGGTAAATGTTGTCATTAAACAAATAAATCAGTACCAACTGATGTTCCTAACTTCATTTTTGGGTAATTTTGGCCACCTACATGTAATCATCTCTATTAGTAAAACAACAATTACCAGTGTCAGCCAAATGACACATGCATTGTACACTACTGGAAATTAATTATCATACCTTGATTAAGATATGATCTAGTGGTCCTTTTGTTGAGTCCAGATGCTTCTTAAGATCACAAAGTAGAAATTCAAACACCAAATATAGCTTGGAATCTTCATGTAGAACATGTTCTAGACTAACAACATTTGGGTGACCATTCAGTTCCTTTAGCAATGAAATTTCCCGTACTGCTGTGCTTGGAATTCCTTCATCAGCTAGCTCAAGTCTAATTTTCTTCAATGCAACCAGCTTGTTAGTCCTGTTATTGCGGCCTTTGTACACAACACCGTACGTGCCTATAATGACAAGGTGGGTATAGAATATAAATTTTAATATGACAACTGAGATATAAAAAAAACTTGAATTGTGTAGGTTGCTATTGAAGAGTGCTCTCTTTTTAGGTGGTTTGCATCTCCAAAGCGATAACAATGTACTACTTGCAACACATAAAATCAGACCAAAAATCCCAGCCCTGAGCCTATTCTTTGGCTAATTTAAGAGGTAATGTTACCAGTACATCACTGATACTTCTCGAGATCAGTCTACAGGTTTGCCCAACAAAACCCATCAACAAGATTAAAAGTCACATCTTAGCCACCATAAAGGTACACTGAAGATCACCAAAAAAATTTCTCTCAGTGGTGGGATAGGAGCTGAGTGGAACCATTTCGTCAAGCAGCTGGCTGAGAAGCTTGTAAAGAAGGGCAAGGAACCTTTGATCATAATTATTACAGTTACGTGAATCAGAACATTGCTCTACTTTGAGATATTAAGATTGGTACACACAAGTGTAAGAGGACTTTATTGACAACCACCTCCTAAATGTGAACAAAGCGTGTATCTGTTGTAGTTCAATTTTATCCTTGGTTCAAATTTTATTTTCCTTTGTTCTCGGTCATGTTAATGTATGATATTGGGTTTGAAACAAAGGAAAATAAAATTTGAACCAAGGATAAAATTGAACTTCAACATATCCATTAGTTTTTTTAGATTTTAATTAGACATTTCAATACATTTTTCAATTTTCAAGCATTTGACCATAATTTTTGGTTTAAAATATTTTTAGTGATTATGGTGAATAAGGGATTTTTATTATGAAAGAAAAGTTTCTCTTTAAGCATCATTTTCAACTCCCATTTAAATGTCATCGATTACACAGCTGGTTCATTACCTTCCCCAATCTTTTCTATCTTGGAAAATTCTGACATCTTCAAATCGTCAGTTTTGGATCCCATTCTCAGTTGCTTTTTCGTTACCCTGAATTGAGAGAAACCTACCTACAAAACAAGATAAAATAACAAAATGTACTTAAAATTACAAACGCAAAATTTGTTTCTAGTCACACTGAATATCCTCACAGTAGACAAATGTGGTGTGAGCTAACAACCAACACCTTCACAAAATATTTTTTTTCTGTAATGCACATCTATACAGCGTAATTTCATGTAGAGCACCAGCCTCTGCGATACATTATACGGTAAATATCGGCTACAGCTTGTTTAGAGTCTTGTTGAGCGACCATCCCAATAGTGAATCGCAAGCATACGCACTGTATGTACTAGCAGCGTGATCAACAGAATATTCGAATTTTAGCCATGAAACGTGCGCGCGACAAGGTCCACGTAGCCCCCCATCGCAGGAGAGAAATTATTTTCTTAAAACGACATAACGAAGAAAGTGACATTAATTTTTCACTGCAAAATCGATGCAACAGTTAATAAGTGCCACGTGAAAAATCTGAAATCTACATATCAAAGCGTGCTAAAGTTGTTCCAGTTTCCAGCATATTGTATTCTTAAACTGTATTTGCGAAGAACTTTGTCAAAAGGGAGAATACTTGTTTGGCTTACATGCTTAGCTTAAAGGGTCTTAAATTCCAACGAATGAACCTATAGATCGAGAAATCGGAGTTGCTGTTCGGTTGGAATTCGCCTTACTGAAACGAAAGTCCACAGTAGGCGATGCCTAACGGAAAAAAATTAAATACCATTTATCATTGGCGAAGGAAGTTTTCTTCAGTTGAAATGCAAACTAAAACGACCGCGCACTGTAATCCTCAGTTAAATCAAAGGTGTAAGTCAAAATCGTGGCAAGAAGAAAATTGATAGATATTCAATTATAAAAAGATGTTGACAAACCTTTACGAAGCGTTTCCAAGATGAAGGCCAAGTGCGTGTTGTCGTAGATTTGTATTTGAAAATAGCGGCGTTTGAATCCTTGACCAATCAGATCTCAGAATTAAACTCTTCCTCAGTTTACCACGGACAACTCTTGGATAAAGCTTGATAAAACACTAGTTATAATTGGACAATAACTCGAAGCGCTGGACCAATCAAATCTGTTTTCATACCCATTCCTAATCCTTTCTCTTCCCTTTCAAAATGGAGGCTTTATATGGTATACCCTTTCACATTTTAGAAGTCCCTAACCTCAAATTGAAGAAGCCAGGATGGGTAAAACCACCATCGGCTATGGTGGTCTTTGCCTTTGTTCTCTTGTCATATTTTTTGGTCACTGGGGGTAAGCTATGTGATAAAGTTTCTCGTTACATGCCTCTCTAAAGGATCAAAATTGAAATTAACTCAACTGCAACTGGCTATCCAAAAAAAGTAACTATCAAATAGAAGAGTTGATCGTGATTATAGATTCTTAACTTGGAATTCTCTTATAATTATACACTTGCCTAAATACTGCATGTTTATCGGTAGCTGAAGAAGAATATCATATGGGTTTGTTTACTAAAGTAGATCGGTCCCAACTAGGGGATACATACGTGGCACTGTAAAGCGTGACATGAAATGTATTTCGAAATTAATGATCAAATAGTGCCCTGGGACAGGCATCGAAAGTATTCATTCACTATTTTATTTTCATTTGCATTGCCACATGTCAAGTATAACAAAACAGATATTTAATTGATAAAATCTGTTATTGATTCCTTAACCCTTTACCTCACATGAGTGTCCAAGACAGAATTTTTCGAGCAGCCAAATGTTGAGAATAAAGAAAAATAGAAATTAAAGGATAACCAGTTGATCCAATATCAAATTCTCCAAACTAGCATCATGGGAATCCTATGGCAGACAGTAAGGAGAATTACTAATGAGATCTTGGGAGTGAAAGGGTTAACCAATACTTTTAACATAATGTAAATCTGATTTGTGTTTCTCTGTATATTTGATCCTGGATTAAAAAAAAAATTATTATCAGATTTGTTAACTTTTGATGATAGAGTGCCACAAGATTTCTCATGGATCTTTGATGTTGTCTCCCAGGTATCATTTATGATGTGATTGTAGAACCACCCAGTGTTGGAAGCACAACCGATGAGTTTGGTCATAGCAAACCAGTGAGTACATACCCTGAATTCAAAGGTGAAAGCTAGGGCATGTGCAAGGGGATGAGTTTTGGGTACTTTGGCACCAATTTTACACAGCCAATTTCTAAGGCAATCATAAGAAACAACAATGGTCTTGCACAAGAACTAAGAGAAAATTCAATCATTCATGAAATATAAAAAGGGGAACAAAATTATAGAAAAGGAATACTCAAGACTTTTGGAACACAAAACTTATTTGTACATCTGTTGATATACCATTCTGTTTAGAACTTTTCAAAACAGGTATATGCCTCTAAAACACTAGTACTTACTGGCTTGTGTTTTTTTTTTTTGTTACTTCTGTGAGATAACTAGGTTCTGACACCCTAAATGAACACCACTTGGTCATGCACAGACATTTGACCACTGCATTCATTTCCCTGCTTCTCAGAAACCAAATGACTTAAAAAACAATGAGAAATGTACTGTTTGTTTGTTATGATTTTACTCTTCTGAACTTACTGAAGACACTCATGTTTTATAAAGCAACTTCTTGTGTTCCTTTTATTTTCCTAGGTTGCTTTCATGCCCTACCGTGTAAATGGTCAATACATCATGGAAGGCCTGGCGTCAAGTTTTCTGTTTTCAATGGGTGGACTAGGCTTTATTATCCTGGATAAATCAAATGCTGTTGGCATGTCTAAACTTAACAGATTTCTGTTGCTGTTCCTGGGCTTTGTCTGTGTCCTAGTGTCATTCTTTACATGCAGAGTTTTCATGAGAATGAAACTGCCGTGAGTATCACATTTTTTTTCCACTTACCGCTAGATATGCTAACATGGCTTTGCTGGTCAGTTTTGTACACAATTGCTTGTAATTCTAGTGAATGCATACTATCTCTTACTAATCTTATCTTCTTGATCCAGACTGTTTGTTTTGCCCTCTCTCCCCTCCTTACTTCCTCATAAAGGATTGATAGCTTAAAATACAGAAGACAAAGTCATATCAAGATATCTCTGTTGTGCATGACAATTTTGGGGAACAATTTTTTGTAACAAGAGACAGCTGTAAATGACTAACTTGCATCAAAAGCAAATGGGGTCAATTTGAAATTGTTGTTCAGTTTTTAGCAAGTTGAGCACTTAGGAAAGTTAATTATTCAGAATTTCATTTTCCCACAAAAGTTAAGAACATGAGGCAGTAAATTAAAGATTTTTTTGATGAAAAAAATAACTGAAAATTCTTAGTGGCTGTCTCAGTGTGGCCCAGGAAAATGGCCATCACAGCATGCATGGCATCCAAGAGACTTAATTCGAATTGTGATTTTATGACTGGTTCATCTGAGGTTTTTTTAAAAATACATGCACCTTAACTTTCAAATCAAGATAAAATTGCAGTGTTAACAAGTTAAGTTGAATCTGATGTGCATTTGTACTGTTGGAAGATCTTACATGTACATTCTAATCGCTCCCTGGATTGAGCAGGTTATGATGTCTGTTAAAAATAGGTCCGCAAAGCGTACATGCGTCTAGTGTGGGAATATGTTTTACCTACTAACACTAATGTGAATGGTTGATACATGTATTTCAGTTTGTATACTTGAAGAGAGTTCTGTAGAGAGTAGGTTCAATACATTTTAATTGAAGTGCGGCGGGTCGCGATAAAAGTGTTCCATAAGGGAAGTTCACCATGAAATAAGCATTTTTTTTTCCAGAAATAATTGTATTCTTTATCAAATTCAACTCTTTACCTGTCAGGCCTTAACATGGACATAACGTGTTAACATGTTATAGTAAACTAACTGTTTTTCTATCAACAACCATTACTTTCCTCACTGATTCAGTTAACAGCAGTAATTTTGAAAATCAATTAGGTACCAGGTTTCATAGCAGCTGGATAGTTGCTTGCATAATGATCCCCAGGATTTCGGTCAAATCTAACATGAACATGAGCGTAATGTGCTAATCTCATATGTAATGAACTTAAAACTTGGAGTGTACCCAATAGGTAAAGGAATGCTGCCCAGAGATAATGTATCTAATAAGAACATAAACAATTACAATCCACCAATGAAACTATAAGTTTATTTGGCTATTCAACAGTTACAGAAATAGTTCTCCTTAACCTTTTTTGTTTGGTTGGAAACAATTTGTGGATTCATTTGTCACTAAAGGTTGTGCTTTGAGGTTTTCTCAATAATTATGCTCTTTGAGCTGTAACAAGTATTAAAAAACTGAAACATGAACATCAACAATGTTATAATGTAAGAGGTGTAAAAAGAAAAAAATGACTAATAACAACTGAGTAAATAACCTACTTTTTGGTTGCATGTTTCCTGAGAGGGAAACTCCTTTTGTTTTCGGTTTATGTTAATTCATCTCAGTTAATGACACTCCTGTTTGGAGTACTTTGCAATTATTAGGTCTCGGCTTATAGCCGAATGTTTTGTGTTTATTTTTATTTCAATGCAACAGCTGCTGACATGAAGAAGTTTAGGGTCTCGGCTTATAGGCGAATAAATACGGTATAACCACTACAACTCCTGTATGATAGATAAGAATTTCTCATTATTCCTTTTTAAAAGGTTGAAAAATAAGAATATATAACAAAAATAATTTTTGGATGATAAAAATGACTGTCGTAATTTCTGTTTCTGTTTCATTTGGATTTCACAATTATAGTGTTTTTTGCTAAAACCTAAAAAAGAAGAAAATGTAGCAACAACTAGTTCTGGATGTTAAAAATTTCCATTATTCCTGTTTCTATGTGATCTGGAGATAATTTTGTTTGCTATTACACATCAGTAAGCATATACTTCAAGAATAACTTCCACAATTTCTTGGCTCTGTGGACCTCTGTTGGTGTGTAGATCACAGTAGATTACTCTAAATTGAAAGGAAAGAAATAAACAATTAGCTAAAGCCACTTAAAGATTGTCAAAACTCTTTATGACAACGCAATATAAAAGAGAAATTCATCACAAAGACACATACGGAAAAACAAGAATTTTTTCAGGAAAATCAAAGCAAAGGCTTGGTTGCCAGAGAAAAAAACCGTTGGACCACCCAGGGGAAAAGTTATCTGTCAGTTAGGCAGGGGACGTTAACAAACCCACTTCACGAGGTTACTGTGAGGTGGTCTGGCCTGTTTATTAGGAATTGGGGGGAGGGGGCATCTGTAAAATTTCTTCTTTATTAATTGTAAACTGCAGCTAGCAGTCTGGAAAAAGTCCCCCATACAGTGTTGTAAAGCGCATTAGAATATTGCATGGAAATGCACTATAGAAATTGATATTATTATTATTATTATTATTATTATTATTATTATTATGAATTACATTGTGATGTTCAACAGGATAAAGATTAGGGATGCATAATTGAGACACAAAAGTACCTCTAATTAGCTCTCTTCTGATCGATGGAATCCCTGACAATTCTTAAAAACTAAGGAAATCAAAGGTAATTTATTGAATTGAACATTTTTCGTTTTGTTCAATAATCCACGATAAGATTGACATGTTGTCTTCTAACCCAGACCTAACTAATTACGCCTGCAGACTTAGCATGACTTCGAAGTTTTTGATTTCTTGGCGCTTTGGAATGCATTTCTTGGCTTCATCTTGAATGGAGTTGAATTGTAAAAAAAATTTAACTCAACTTTCTTTCATATTTTCAATCTTTAGTCAGAAATGTTTACTTTTTAAGTTTTGAGCGAACAGATTTGACACCCCTTTTGTTACCTGAGACGCAACTTGTCTAGGAATACTTGTAAAATATTAATAGCTGTTTTGGGTCGTGTGATTTGCGGGTGCTGGGATTTAGAAATTTACTAGACCGCTTCAGAAAATACAAAGGAATATTCTTATTAATGTTACTAGTAAGTGAATGCGTTGTGTTTTTTAAACTGGGAGGCATCTTGCAGTTTTATATCAGATCCACTGTTTCACGCCGGTGTGAATCGAATGTAGATTACTACATTTATAATTTCACAGCCTCAGAGCACAAAATTTAAAACCGAAAATCATACAACATTTAAAGGACAACCAAGTCCTCATCAGGTAACCAAAGCCAAAGATTAGGTTGTTTGGCATTTGCCATAAGGGCAACCTGGATTTTTTCCGATTGGAAATGCGGCGCTGTCTTTGAAGCGTTGTTGTTACGTTGGTGGTGACGAAGACGGCAGTCATCGAATAATCAAAGGCATCTTTCAAAGCCTTTAATTTAGCCAAATTTGTTCCAACTTTGAAAACTGTGGAATACTGAAATACGCATTCAGAGGAAATTCATTATAAAGTTAGAAAAGAACACCGCTTCACTTACCTAGTTCACCATCCACGCGTGGGTTTGACAATGCACAACTATGGTGCCCAGTAAGGGACATCAGATAAAAAACACTTTTTGTAACAAGCAGTGCTACTTATTTATCTAGCACTGCCACTTATTTATCTGGCACTGTTACTTAATAAGTGGCAGTGCTAGTTATTTATCTGGCACTGCTACTTATTTATCAGGCACTACTACTTATTTATCTGGCACTGCTACTTATTTATCTAGCACTGCTACTTATTTATCTGGCACTGCCACTTATTTATCTGGCACTGCTACTTAGTAAGTGGCTGTGCTACTTATTTATCTGGCACT